CAGTAATATTGTAATGTAACTAATTACTTTCAAAAGACAGTAACTAGTAATATATAATGTATTACATTTTGGAAGTAACTTGCCCAACACTGTATATATATATATATATTTTTTTTAAGTATAAAGCATTTCAGTCTCAGATTTTTAGACTTGATTTATGACTTTACTTATCTATGAACAACACAAAGCTACAAACACACATCATGCACGCAGACATATCTTCAGTCTATTATTAGGCCTATTTCATAGGTACAAGAGTATGAAGTGAGTGTCAGATATAGATGTGCAAACAGAATTCAGAAGTCAGAAAGAGCTTTATTACTAAGTATGATTTTAAGTAACGGAGATGGCATCAGGTTGGTAGTTACGAAGCTTGAGGTAGTTAAATGTGTCAAATATATTTGATGTCTTTACGACTTTTTCTTCTCAGTCACCCATTCTCAGCAGCGTTTGTGGTGCGTCAGATGGCGCTGCCTACATGCGGAAGAGAAACCAAAGAACACCGGGAATGTCACGAATCAGAAACCTCCAGCCGTCGCGCTTTTCTGCTCATTCAGTCGGTGTATTTTACTCAAAGAAGCTCAAGAACAAGGTTTGGCTGGTAACATGGGTTAGCTAAGGTCTGGTTGCGGTAAACTACGGTAAAATAATTCTGTATCTTCCGCGTCTCCGCCGGGAAAATGAAGTGTATGCCCGGTTCGCTTCAGGTGCACGCCGCATCCAACGGGTATTTTATCACCATCATCTTCATCTCTAAGATCACAAACGACTGCCAACCTGATGCATCCCTTCAATTCACTTCAAGGTTCAAGGTTTTGCGCGTTTATAAATGCATGTGCTTGTACAGGATACATTAATTGCCCTCTTGAGCAGGACATTACGGACGTGAGGAGTATTACATAAGTTCAGGGTGAAGGCTGTGTCTCAAAACCTAGTGAGCTGCCTACCTAGACAGCATTTGTCGGCATCGTAGGCGTGTTTTTTTCAGCCCATTCTGAGCGCGTTTAGAGATGCTGACGGCAAGCCTGTTGTTTTTATTTACAACGCTGCGCTTGAATACTTGACTCTGATTGGTCAGTAACGACGCTTTGGGTGTTTAATTTGTATTTAGTTATTTTTAGCTAAATGTATTAGCTAACTGCGCTTCTTTTAATTTTCTTGTAACTTTTGAGAGATATTTAGAGCGTGAGTCCCCAGTTACAGCAGAAAAAAACATTGCTATAATAAGTTGTCTCCAAAATTTGTTCCGCTAATATTCTATAAAAAAGTAATCTTTTCTATGCAGGCTAGAGTAATAGTAATATTTAATTTTGTTGCTTTTATGTAATGGACTACTTTTTGTAGTGGAAGCTTAAAGATGATTAGCACTACTTTTATTTTTCTCGTAACTTATGCAGGAAAAACATGCTTATAAGAGTTTTAGGTTGTCACCAAAAATTTTCGCTAATAGTCTATACAAAAAGTATTTTTTTTTTCTATTCAGAAAAATAATATTTAAATTTTGCTGCTACGATGTAATGGACAATTTTTTTTTGTAGTTAAAGATCTTTAAAATGGTCACCAAACCAGATATTTTGTAATTGTCCATATAGCAACGCTTGTGCTACTTTTATTTTGCTTGAAACTTTTGAGAGACATTTAAAATGGGAGTCCCCAGTTAAAGCAGAAAAAAAATCATATTTTTATTTTATTTTATTAAACTCACTACAAGAGTTTTTGCCAAAAATGTTTGGTAGTAGTCTTAGTCTATAGAAAAAGTAAGCTTTTCTTTGTAGAGTAATACTAATATTTAAATTATTTTGTTGCTACAATGTAATGGACTTTTTTTTTCTTTTGTAGCAGAAGCTTCAAATTACTCTTACAAGTAAAATATTTGATTCTTTACAAATGTGGGAATTATAAATATTCCTTACATTTCACAAACATTGACCATACAGGCAAACTGAGCAAGAATTAGCTTTAACAATTATGACTGAATATGGTAAAATATGGATACTGCATTAACAACTTATTGTTATATCACACATTTTTTATTGCCATTTAATGAAGAAGTCTGCTATCATTTTGTATCTGAGATATCATATATATCATTTACTCACTTAATCTTTTGATTAATACCCATCTTGCTTGCATGTTGAATATCAGGAAATAAAAAGTATATATATTTATAGACATTTACAGTATGCTTGATGACATTTGACATTTTTCCATAGTATTTTGAGTTACATGATTTTATCCATTGCTTTTAGGTCCCAGTTTACAGATACTGACATGGACTATGAGAGGCCTAATGTCGAGACCATTAAATGTGTGGTGGTGGGTGACAATGCTGTGGGTAAAACACGTCTGATTTGTGCCCGCGCGTGTAACGCCACTCTTACACAGTACCAGCTCCTCGCCACCCATGTGCCCACTGTCTGGGCCATTGACCAGTACAGAGTCTGTCAAGAGGTCTGGGTTTTTATCTTTGCACTTATGACACTTCAGAAACATAAATAAGTATTGTAACTCCAGTTACAATAGTCCAATTCCAACTTGAATCCAAATCTCTTCTGGTTTTGAAGGTTCTGGAACGCTCCAGAGATGTAGTGGATGATGTGAGCGTGTCTCTTCGATTATGGGACACCTTTGGAGACCATCACAAAGACCGCCGCTTCGCTTATGGCAGGTGTGTTTGTGGATTACATCGGTCTTGAAAATGACTAGATGTTTTTTTTTGAATGCTTTATTTTGTGTCTGGACACTAGGTCAGACGTGGTGGTCCTGTGCTTCTCCATTGCCAACCCCAATTCTCTGTTTCACGTGAAGACCATGTGGTACCCAGAGATCAAGCACTTCTGCCCTCGTGCCCCAGTCATTCTGGTGGGCTGCCAGTTAGACCTGCGTTATGCTGACCTGGAGGCTGTTAACAGGGCAAGGAGACCTCTAGCCAGGTGAATTGTCAAATTTTTTAATCTAGATTTAAAGGGGTCATCGGATGCAAAATTCACTTTTTACATATTGTTCGAACTGAAATGTCTTCTTTTTTTTTTTTAAATCCTGAAAAACCATAACCCCTTTCTCAAATCAAGCTGTTCACAAATTCTTGGATGTGTTACGTCACACGTACCCAGGCCACTCCCACGATAGTTGATTGACACTGGTGTTTTACCTTAGACCTGCCCTGAGTGAGCTGTCAACAGTCCGCCATTGTTTCGACGCCAGGGCAGGTGTAGACAAGAATGGCTCCTAAGCGATTGAGGTGTTTTGTTGTTGGATGTAATAATGCACATAGCAGTCATAATTTACTCCTGACATCTGAGCCGCTGAAGACGCAGAAGATTGTTTATTTATGAAGGGAATGCGCCCTCCGATCTACCTAAATGCGTCTGTTCGTGCGAATCATTCGTGATCAAGCTTCACCTACAGATGAAGTGAGTGTAAGGTTTTATGTCTTATATCCAATCTTTGCAAATTGCCTTTCCTAAAAATGTGCTAGTTAGCAAGTATCACAACGAATGCGGCTAAAGTTTACAGTCTCATGGGAATGGCTCGTCACAGGGCGGGGTGAGCAGAGCTCATAATTTAGCATTTAAAGGGGCATGCAGCGAAATGGCTCGCTATGAACATTTTTTTTTAATTGTGTTTTTAAAGAAGTCTCTTACATTCACCAAGGCTTATTTAATTAATGAAAAATAAAAGTGATATTATGAAATATTACAATTTAAAGTAGCTGTTTTCTATTTTGATATATTTTAAAATGGTATTTATTCTTATTTTTGTGGAAAACATGACAATTTTTTAGGATTCATTGATGTTGATAAAGTTGAATATAAAGAACAGCATTTATTAGAAAATTATTCATTATAAATGCCTTTCCTCTCATTTTTGATCAAATACTTTTATAATCAAAATAATTTATTAAAATATAAATAACCTTTTTAATAAAAAAAAACTGCATAAAGAATTAATAAAAAAAATGATTAACTGCCTCATACCTGCTTCTCTAAATTGTAAATATGAAATATATATATATTATAAATATAAAAATATCAATTATGTCTTTATATCATAAATAGCAAAATATTCAATTCAAGTTTATTTGTATAGTGCTTTTCACGATGCAAATCGTTGCAAAGCAGCTTTACAGAAAATGAAAGATTCTACATTATATTTAGTAATAGCTTATCAGTGGTGACTATCTCAAGTTGATGTCCATTATAGCAAAATTTGGTAGTTTTGTATGTTGTCTGAGGGTTGGCATCATCTCTTCTCAGGTGTTCGGTCATCTCAGGTCTTTGTAAGGGCTGGATCCAGACTGAAGCTTGTGTAATTCCTAGTTACCAGGGATGCCAATCCCGTGGCAGGAACGGAGAAGGTAATAGAGAAAAATATATAAAACTGTTATAGAGGAAGTATAACAGTACATCTGTCTAGATGCAAATTGTAATCAACTAGATTCTGTGCACTGTTTTTTGGTCCAATAAGTAATATCTCAGTCTTATGCGAATTTAATAGGAGAAAATTATTGGTCATCCAGTCTTTTACATTTTTAACACACTCTGTTAGCTTAGATAATTTAGAAGTTTCATCTGGTCTTGTTGAGATATATAGTTGAGTATCATCAGCATAACAATGGAAACTAATCCTGTATTTTCTAATAATATTACCAACGGGCAACATGTATATTGAATATAGCAGAGGGTCTAGGACAGATCCTTGTGGCACTCCATACTTTACTGGATTTAATTGAGATGATTCCCCGTTTAAATAGACAAAGTGATAGCGATTGGAAAGGTAGGATCTAAACCATCTTAAAGCCTGCCCTTGAATACCTGTATAGTTTTGTAATCGATCTATGAGTATGGCATGATCTATAGTGTCGAACGCAGCACTAAGATCAAGTAAAACTAGCAATGAGATGCAGCCTTGGTCTGACGCAAGAAGCAAGTCATTTGTAATTTTAACAAGTGCAGTTTCTGTGCTATGGTGGTGCCTGAAATTCTTCATAGATAATTTTTTTGCAGGAAGGAGCACAATTGAACAGACACAACTTTTTCAAAAATTTTAGACACAAACGGAAGATTTGAAATGGGTCTGTAATTTGACAGTTCACCAGGATCTAGTTGTGGTTTCTTAATAAGAGGCTTAATAACCGCCAGCTTGAATGGTTTTGGGACGTGACCTAAAGACAACGACGAGTTAATAATATTGAGAAGCGGTTCTTCTGCTACAGGTAACAACTCTTTCAGTAATTTAGTGGGTACAAGATCTAACAGGCATGTTGTTGGTTTAGATGCAGTGATAAGTTTATTTAGCTCTTCCTCTCCTATAATTGTAAAGCACTGCAGTTTATCTTTTGGTGCGATGAATGAAGCTGAAGTATTATACGCTGTAGAATCTACATTTGTTATAGTATTTGTGATGCTATCTATTTTATCAGTAAAGAAATTCATAGTCATCGCTACTAAACTGTGAGGGAATATTTAGTTCGGGTGATGTCTGATTATTTGTTAATCTAGCCACTGTGCTAAATAAAAACCTTGGATTGTTTTGGTTATTTTCTTTGTGGATATGCTCGGCCCTGGCAGCTTTTAGAGCCTGTCTATAGCTAGACATACTGTTTTTCCACGCAATTCTAAAAACTTCCAAGTTAGTTTTTCTCCATTTGCGCTCAAGACTACGAGTTTTTTTCTTGAGAGAATGGGTATTACGGTTGTACCATGGCGCAGTACGTTTTTCTCTAACCTTTTTCAATTTGATGGGGCAACAGCTTCTAATGTATTAGAGAAGATAGGGCCCATGTTGCTAGTCATTTCGTCTAGTTCATGTGTACTTATTGGTACACAGAGCAGTTGAGATAAATCAGGCAGGTTATTTGTGAATCTGTCTTTGGTGGCTGGAACAATAGTTCTGCCCAGACGATAACGCGGAGCGATATAGTTAATATCAGTAATACGCAGCATGCACGATACAAGGAAATGGTCAGTAACATCTGGAACAATAGTTCTACCCGGACGATAACGCGGAGCCATTTAATTAATATCATGCAATATAATTCCAATTCCATGCGATATAATTAAATCTAGTGTATGATTAAAACGATGAGTGGGTCTGGTTATGATTTGTTTGACTCCAAAAGAGTTCATTAAGTCTGTAAACGCAAGTCCTAATGCATCATTTATATTATCAACGTGAATGTTAAAGTCTCCGACAATTAGTGCTTTATCAACATTAATCAATAGGTCTGAGAGGAAATCTGCAAATTCTTTTAGGAAATCTTTATACGGCCCTGGTGGTCTATACACAGTAGCCAGAGCAAGAGATACGATAGATTTCTTTTGCATATCTGACAGTGTAACATTAAGCAGAAGTATTTCGAATGAGTTAAACCTGTATCCTGTTTTCTGAGTAACATTGAGAATATCACTATATATTGTTGCAACACCGCCGCCACGGCCAGTCAGATGGGGATCATGCTTATAACAGTAGCTTGGTGGAGTAGACTCATTTAGACCAATATCACTTGTTTCTCTAAATTTCCTAAATATAAAAATACAAACATGACAATACATATTAGTATCATCTACTTCTGACTAGCCATAGAAAGTCTTGGTCCATCCGTATGTCTTTGGCTTGCAGTATGTCTTTGAACTGTTTTCCATTGGCTCTTCAGTGTAAAATGAACATCGTGTATTGCACATTTTTCATTAATACAAGACCAAATATGTAACATTCACATCAAAGATATTGCAGTACATCCTTTTTGTTGACATTTCTCTATGAACCAACCTTACAGACCCATCAAAGCGAACGAGATTCTTCTTCCTGAGAAGGGTCGTGAGGTGGCCAAAGTGTTGGGCATGCCGTACTACGAGACCAGCGTGGTGGCTCAGTTTGGAGTGAAGGATGTGTTTGACAATGCCATCCGTGCTGCTCTCATCTCACGGCGCCATCTGCAGTTCTGGAAGTCTCACTTGCGGGACGTCCAACGGCTTCTCCTGCAGGCACCCTTCCTGCCTCCCAAACCTCCTCCACTTGTTATAGTCATCCCTCCGCCCCCTTCCACCACCGAGGAGCACCCGGGCCGGCTGCTGGAGGAGCCGCTGTGTGCTGATGTGGTTTTGGTCCTCCATGAGAACCAGCGAGTCTTCGCTCATAAGGTCTACCTCGCCACGGCCTCCTCGAAATTCTACGACCTTTTCCTCCAGGATGTGAAGGCCGAGCCTGACTGTAAGCAACCCACTGGACGGGAGCCTCCCGCGCGGGCTGCCAGCTTTGACATGTGTGAGAGCAGCGATGAAGAAAGCAGGGTCAACCTCGGGGCCTGCATCAGTGATGGGACCCTAATCGCCGCAGATTCCGATGGGATCCTGGAGGGCGGACGTTGGGGGCGGCTTTTATCTTCTTTGGGTCGAGCTTTCGTCAGCATCAGGAGAGAAAAGGTCCAGGACCCCGTCACGTTCATCTCTTGGCCAATGATGGTGGTGCACATGGACCCCTCGGTGCTGCTTGGGCCGTTTTGCGTTGTCATGCGTTACCTTTACACGGGACAGCTGGACGAACACGAGAAGGACCTGATGCACATCGCACACATCGCTGAGCTGCTGGAGGTGTTTGACTTGCGCATGATGGTCGCCAACATCCTCAACAACGAGGCCTTCATGAATCAGGAGATCACGAAGGCTTTCCACGTGCGACGGACCAATCGGGTGAAGGAATGCCTGCTTAAAGAAACTTTCTCAGGTCAAAAACTCTGACCTGACCCCCCCCAAATTCCGTTTTTCAGTTTAAATGTTAATGGATTCCATTTTTTCCTTCTGTTTAAATTTGTCTAGACTCCGTTTTAATGGTTAAATTACATTTTAGTAATCAAAACGCATATCTAATTAATTGAAATCATAAATTTTACTACAATTTAACAACATTTATTAAAATGTTTTAAAAATATAACAAAATTAATTTGTAGGGCCCTTTGAAATGTTTAATTTTTTCCCCCCCAAATTCAGTGTTTTTACTTTTTTGGATTCTGCTTTAATGGTTTAATTTAAGTTTAACAACAAAAAAGCATGTCTAATAATTGAATTAATTCAAGTTTAACAGTAAAAAGATTACAATAATAGGGCACTATTATTTTTTTCCAGAAATTGTGGTGCTTTCTGGATTTTTTAATCTAATATAAAAAAAATGCTGGTAATCACATGAAGGCATGAAACATTAAAAATGTAATTTAATGTTTTCAAATGTGATCAGATGAAAGTTTAACAATTCCTATTTTTTTTATTTGACAACTGAGATTAGAGGTCTGCATTCCCGCGGGAACGACCGGATTTTTTTGCACCGCGGGATTCAATTCCCGAATAAAACGTGGTAGCGGTCGGTAAATCTGGTGTAATTTGAATGGGAGCGGGCGGTCTAACAATATCCCGTTCCCGACGTCCATTTAGAACAGCATATTTGCGCTTTATTCTTATTGACCACCGGTACAGTTTGCTCTCAGGACTGTTATGCACGCTCTGCACACATGCTTTAAACGTCACGCATTTTATTTGCATGGTCTGTGCGCAGCATGTGCATAACGATGCTCAGAGCAGGCTGTACCTGTGGTAAATAGACGGCCCTCAGACAGAACAGGCAGGTTGTCGATGAGTGACAGAGCAGAATAAGGATGGAGCAAAGTGTGGAT